AGAGGCGGTCCCTTAGGTAACCTGGTCCCATGCCAGGTAGGGCTTTAAAGGTGATAACCAACATCGTGAATTGGACCCGGAAGCAAACTGGTACCCAATGCAGCTTGCAGAGCAGTGGCGTTACATGGGCCCTCCTTGGGGCTCCAAAAATAGCCTGTGCAGCTGCATTCTGGACCAGCTGTAGCTTCCGGATACTCTTCAAGGGCAGCCCCATGTAGAGCGCATTGCAGTAGTCTATCTTGTAGGGCTTTAAAGGTGATAACCAACATCTTGAATTGGACCCGGAAGCAAACTGGTACCCAATGCAGCTTGCAGAGCAGTGGCGTTACATGGGCCCTCCTTGGGGCTCCAAAAATAGCCTGTGCAGCTGCATTCTGGACCAGCTGTAGCTTCCGGATACTCTTCAAGGGTAGCCCCATGTAGAGCGCATTGCAGTAGTCTATCTGGGAGATAACAAGGGCATGAGTGATAATACCTTGCACTTCGTACCACTAAGAGTATAATCAGTTTCTCAAACTGACTTAGGGTAATAGTGCACACACCTGCAGGCAGGAAACTCTCAGGTTACTCTGGAGTTTTCTATAGCACATAGGCTAAGTGTAACACTCATATACAAGTATTTTTAAATACAAAGACACCAGAATCTGGAAAACCTGTTTGGCCATGTTTCTTATGTGCATGTACAAGCATATTGCTTCACATTTATTGCTGTAAAAATTGTAGCACATTTCCTCACAACAACTGAGATATGTGGGACACTGCCCCCAGATTTTGGCTTCAGCCAAAGGAATTTCCAGGGCATAATAAGTGCAGAATCCAATCTGCTTAGAAGTAACAACTTCTACTCATGAAGACTTAATAGCTAATTTCAGATGTCTGGGGACTTTCTGATTAATACAGTGCAACAGAGACACATCTCTGAATATACTCAGAGGTACCAATTTGTGTTATTCCAGATGCTGTCTGGCTAAGCCCTGCTGCTAGAACCCAGAGATGCACTTTAATTGAGGCAGCATATTGAAGAAGAATTAAAAGGAAGACATTGAATATATTGATGGAATGTGAGCAATAAAGTGACTAGAAGTTTTAGGGTTCTAGGCACTCTAATTTTCTGACCTGTCCAGTCCAAACACAGGTCTCATTTTGGCACTGAGTCTATTTTGATTGCTTGGATGGCTGGTCTTTGACAGGAAAGGAACTGGGGGCTACAACATCTGATTTTCTGGATTTTTTTGGTGGATTTTGATATTATTACCATTATACTTTTCTAGAATAGGAATTGAGATCACTGTGCTGGATTCCATTCCTGTCACTTGTCCAGTTCTAAATGGGACACTTCTATAGTACAATGATTTGGGTTTGTCAGCCTTCCGTTGTGTCAGACTATTCAACATCTAATAAAATAAGATTAGGAATCAACAGTCCCACTGCACAATTCTAATGCAGATCCAGGTATCCATCCCTATAACAAAATGCAAATATAAATATAATTTGGAGAGAATCTAGTGGGATTGCCAACTTCTGAATAAGAATATCCAACTGTATTCTTTTTAATGCTTGAGCATCCTCCTTGATGCATCTTTGTTGCAGAGCACAAGTTAATTGTGTAATAACAATTGTCTCTTCTCAGCTGTGATCCTATTTAGATAGAAAAGATGGTTCCTTAATGTGAAGATTGAAGAAGGCTAAAAACAGTGCAGGTACCAACAACAGCCAAGTCTGAGAAATGGACTCATAAAGTCTGATATGATGAAAGGGCAGGAAAAAGAAGCAGAATTTAAACCTCGAAGCTAGAATAAAGGGCTATATAAAATGTTAGATACTTAGATTCTATAGAAGCTGTTCTTCATCATAACTAGGGCTATTTCATATCTGCAGTAAAGCTTTTAATCCAAGTCTATCCTTGAATGAGAGTTGGAGCTTTAAGATTAATTGGAGTGGCTTGGGTGTAAACTGACTCTTAATTATTTGTTTTTCTGGAAACTCCCAAATGTCTGAAGATAGTTCAGGTATTATATGTAATTCTGTACAGTGAATTATCTACTATGTGGGAATGTTATGATTTCATTATGTTGGCACTATGCTCGTTTTACTACTAAATTACCAGTTCTGTTTAAAATTGTGGTTTTGATCTTTAATGTTCTTTAGAGTTTAAGTGGAGAATTTTCTTCTGTGTATGTACCTATGTATGCCCTAAAATCTTTGTGAGAGCCTTCTAAAGAGCCTGCCCGCAGGTCTGTACAATGATCTACTATGCCTTCCTCTGGAACCTGCCTAAAATATGTGCTTTGCATGGGAAAGATTCCAGATTGAGATCCTTATCTGAGACTTTGGAAAACTGTTTCCATACTGGGCTATTTGGGCAAATAATCTGACCTGGTGGAAACAGCTCCTTATGAACATTTCAGGATCCATGTCATGACTACCTTTCTTTACCACCTGGTCCTTGCTGTTTGAGTGGGTAGTGGAATCTGTGTCTGACAGGTAGTACTCCAAGATCAGCGTAAGCAGCAGGAATACAGAACTATGAAAGAAGGTGCGGAACATCTCTTTTGATATATATTTTCCCTACTGCCAGTCTTTGTAGGGCTCAAAGTCAGTCAATTCTTCCACATTTTTGCTTTTCACCCCTGGCACTAGATGACTGGTCTTTTAAAAAATATCTAAATATTCTGAGTAATGAAGGGTAGGTTAATTATGACAAAATCTTTTTACAAGGAATGGCACACTTTTTTCACTCCAGAAAATCTATAATGCATTAATAAACCAACAGTGCCCCAAATAAACGAGAATCCTACCATAGAATTGGAAGAATAAAAGCTTTTGCATTTACCTTTATG